GCAAAAATCATAAAAAAAATCAGTAAGAAAGCCAAGTGTTTATATGGTAGTCAATAAGATAGACATGAGCAGAGCAACATCTAAGTCTCAGTTATACTTCAGCAGCAAGCCCAGAAAAGCAGCAAAACCAGACAAGCAATGCCAAGGCTGACCTCAGGATAATGACCCCACCTCTACCTGGGCACCAACCAATCAGTGAAGACCACAAAGAACACAGCTGGAAAACTGCTGAATATTCTATTGAGATCTTCCTCTGTGACCTCCCCTAAAATCTCCATCCTTAAAACCCTTAGGACAGAGGACCCAGCCTCCTCTCTCTAGGGAGCATGCCCATGGGTTTCCCTTTCCCTTCCTCCTCCCCTGAGGCACATCCCCTTGACCTTCCTCACTTCACCTTGACCTTCTTCACTTCTAAGCTCCAAAGGCCCTTCCTTTGCCTCTATAACTTGTTTCCTAAGCACAATTCTTCTACAGATTACTTCTACCTCTGTGATTTTTCTAAATAAATGTTTTCTTACAGTTTGAGTCTTGACTGAATTATTTCCTGGTCAGAACGCAAGTACAGTAGGTCCTCCAGTTACATCGGAGATCCGTTCCTACTGTGTCGGAACCCAACTACATAAGCACCTACATCACTCACATGGAGCACATACACAGCAGTAATGAAGTGAAACAGTAAAAAAAATTTAAAAGAAAGATAACAATTCCTGACCATTACTTGTGGTAAACAAATAATAAAAAAACATAAAGCACATATGTACATACGTCGAAATGATGGAACTTTTTTTATATATATAAATAAATGAGAGATGGCAACATAACCACAAAACAACGTCATAACCCGAGGACTGTCTGTATCAAGGTTGCTGAACTCAGGTCTGGTCTGACCCCACCAGTCTAACACTGCAGCCATTCTCACTGCTGCCAACACTTAAGGTATCTGAACCAAGACAATTTCCCTTCCTCAGCAAGGTGAAGAGTCCACCCCAGAATGCTGCAGAAAGAGCAAAGGGCTTCTCCATCTCCCCCAAGTTCCAAGTAGGAGAGCTTCTTTTCCCCAGGAGCAAGACATCAGCATTTTTCATCCTGCCCCCAGCTAATTGTTGCTGAGGCCAAGTCCTAGTCAAATGCAACTGAGAGATAAGTCCATTTTTCTGCCCAATCACCATTTGTAAAATAAAAGGTTCTACCTTGGGCACTGAGCACTGAAGACCCAAACTCCCTTGCCCAGCTTATGACAGCAGTGGTTCCACAACAACTGAGGCAAGCCAAGAGAAACTAAGGCTGCTGTCTCCCCTCCACCAAGCAATCAGCTCCTAGAGTGGTGGTGTCACTCAGAGAGAAACATGATACTGTCCATACTCTCAGCTCCTGAGGCCTGGCTCCCATTTTGCCTGGTATGGAAAAGAGAGTAGAGAAGCAAAGTAAAATATACAGGTCTTAATCTCTTCCCAAAGGGATTTGACTTCATTTACAACACATTGTTGAGAAGTTCAAGCCTAGAGGCATTCTCATGAACAGTGTAGTTTATGGTGAAAGGTAGTTTGGTAGGAAAGTCAAGATATATGCTAAACTGTAGGCCTGCTAGTTTGCAAGAGAGAAACGAGGAATAAGACAGCTAGGAGAAGCACTTAAAGCATTTGGAAAAATGTCAAACACTGACTCAGAAACTTCACAGGAGCCACACCAAATTAGTTTGTAGAGTAATTTATACCCTAAGGCAGCGGTTCTCAATCTGTGGGTTGCCAACCTGTGGGTTGCGACCCCTTTGGGGGTCGAACGGCCCTTTCACAGGGGTCGCCTAAGACCATCAGAAAACACATATTGAATATATAATTACATATTGTTTTTGTGATAAATCACTATGCTTTAATTATGTTCAATTTGTAACAATGAAAATACATACTGCATATCAGATATTTACATTACGATTCATAACAGTAGCAAAATTAGTTATGAAGTAGCAATGAAAATAATTTTATGGTTGGGGGTCACCACAACATGAGGAACTGTATTAAAGGGTCGCGGCATTAGGAAGGTTGAGAACCACTGTTTATATATGTGTTTTCCGATGGTCTTAGGCAACCCCTGTGAAAGGGTCTTTGGACCCCCAAAGGAGTTAAGACCCACAGGTTGGCAACACACAGGTTGAGAACCACTGCCCTAAGGCATTACTGAAAATAATTGAACAATCAACCACCAATTAGTGACATTTAACAGCTGGGTGTGGTCAAGGAAAGATAACAAGAAAGTCCTACCAAAATCTCTGTCATCTGGACATAGACTTTAATTAATCCAGCCAGTCACCAATCAAAAAAATCTGGAGGAAATGGGTAGGGAAGGTCAATAACCAGATTTGCTACAATATAATATCTCAAATGTCCACTTTCTAACAAAAAAAATATAAGTCATGCAAAGAAACAGAAAAGTATAATCCATAAACTGAGAGTGTGACATGTTGGATTTATCAAAAAAACTTCAAAATAACTTTTATAAATATGTTCACAAAACTAAAGGAAGCCATAGTTTTAAAATTAAAGAAAGGTATAATGACAATGTTGCAACAAAGACCAAAAAAGAGATAGAAATTATAAGAAGCACCAAGTGATCACAGACAGTAATTTGATTTCACACAAAAAAGCAAAGAACACCAGTAAATTATAATAAAATATAGTTTAAAAGCATGTTTTTCTACTTTCTTCTCTTCACCGATTTGAAAAGCAACTACTTAAAATAATATATACATAAAGAATTGATGGGCTTAAATTACATGACAAATATGTGCATAACATAATTATCAATAACAGCACAAATGAGGTGGATGATAGCAAAGTTTTATTGGGCTAAGGAAATTACAACATAACATAAAGCAATAATTATAAAAATGCATTGTTCAGTTTGTAACATTAATATATTTAATATGTATAACAGCAATAGCAAAGGAAGAGACATAAGGGAATATAGCTGTACTTCAGTAATGTTTCTATATGTCACTGTAAATAAGCTTAGAAAAATAGGAAGCTGATTCTGTTAAAATATCTTAGAGAGCAGACACACACACATATGTGAACATATATACACACACACAACCACTAAAAAATCAGTGAAAAAAATTATTAAAGAAATTTTAATGCTACAACATTAAATATTCACTGAATGCAAAAGATAGTAGTAAAGAAGGGAATATAAGAACAAAAAAGACATGATATATATAGAAGACAAAAACTGATATGGCAGAGATGAATTCAACCATATCAATAATAACATTTAAAGGTAAATAGATTAAACAATCCAACCAAAAGGCCTGCCAGCTGGGGATGGAGGGACCGGGAGGTTGGTGAGCAGGCCCCGACCAGGTGATCAGGATGGTCAGTGTGCATCATAGTGACCAGTCATTCTGGTCATTCTGCCATAAGGTTCACTGGGCTTTTATATAGATAGATGAAAAATAGAAATATTAAATGATGAGAACAATGACCTAAAAATATTTTAATATTTGCTTCTGTCACAACCAAGAGTAAAGTGAAAATTAAAGAATAGCTTTGGAAAGTTAAAAAATATAACAAATTAGCAAGTTTAAAAATATATAAAAATAAAAAAGAGGAAGATAAAGAAAGAATAACAGAAATGACAACTGAAGTGCCAAGAATATATCTCCTCAAAGGCTTATTCTGCTAAAAAAACAGAGCGGGCAGAGTGATCACATTTTATCTCAAGGATGATTGAGGAAGTTACAAGGGTATGTTAACAAAAGACTTTATTCTGATTATCATAAGAGAAATCTGATTGATGAATTAGACATACAAGCAACAGGAGGAGAAACTGATTACACTATTTTAAGAGCTCACAATAATCAAGGACAGTGAAATTAAACATTGATATATATCACAGATTTTAGAAAGTTGAATGCCAGCAATAGTCGAATGATCCCAGGGCAAGTGACTCCAAATGTAAATGCAGTTCAAATTATCAAAAATAATATTCAGGTTACATAATCATGACTCCAATAAAGAAAAAGAAAAATGCATCCATATGCTTAGCTTCTCATTTAGGAAATGTAATGGAATTCATTTAATAGGAAAGCAAGTTTTTAATTGCTCTGCTAAGTGTCATGGGAGTACTGTATATCAAATGTTTGATAAGGAGTACCTAACATCACTCTGCTGTTTCTAATGACCAAGTAGAGGCCTAATAATCTACAGTTGAATAACGGCATCTCACACTGGATAATACAGTGTTAAGTGAAATCCCTCAACCTATTCCAGAATACTTACTACACTCTGGCAAGGTCATCCCAGGCTTTAAAGTAAATACTGCAATTACCTTAGGGGAAAATGGAGCATGACTAGGAAGATGCCAACAAGAGCAATCTAAGAGTAAGAAGCCAAACAACAGGGACTTCTCCAATTTTTAAAGTTGAGCTATAATAGCTCATTCTCTCTCTCTCTCTCTCTCTCTCTCTCTCTCTCTCACACACACACACACACACACACACACACACACAGTTTACCCCTTTCTTGCAAACTTCCCAAATATGTCAGAATATGAGCAAGAGATATGGCTTACTTATCTGTACTACCTGGTGAACTGGCATCCCTTGAAATAAATCCAATACTTTTGTCATTTGGAAATCAAATACATCTCTTTCAGTTAGCGATTTTCAACTGGTGTGCTATAAGAATTTTGAAAGCATGCATTACCTGACTAGTCAGAGGCACTGACCTCTTTTCCCTTAGATTTTCAAATAAAAGATGACAACAGCCAACACAATGATAGCCATCTGGTGTGAATGAATCAAAATTATATTTTTTGACAGATGGGCAAAAAATATATTTTTTGGTGTGCCGCAGAAGTTTAGTAATTAGTTTATGTGTGCCATGAGATGAAAAAGGTTGAAAATTGCCACTTTAGGGGATTAACACCAAGTTCTAATTTTCATAATGAAGAAAAACAAATTCAACAAACGAAATACTCATGAAAAAAATGACTCGGGCACTTACCTTTCCACAATCAAACTGACTGTTTGTGTGATATCTGGGTTTGTCACCTGGAGACGTTTCCACAAAGACCATACAAATTCTTTATCAGCCTTAAAAAAAAGAAGACATTTTAAATGCATTGCTTTGTAGCTGTAACAGAGAAGACAATACACTACATAAAGTTAAAAATGAAAACACCATATTACTTGATTACTAGTACTATAACTATAAAATAGATTCTTAAAAAATATAGCGGGAAGCTTTATTTTAAAAAGTTCTTGTACTGATAACCCATATACACTTACACTATTTCTACCCTTCACATTTTAGAGTATAAACACTGAAATGCTGACTATCAAGGTAAATTTGCTCTAAAAGGAAATGGCCCTCTAGCTATTGCTCCCTTTTCAGCAAAATTCCTTGAAAGAGCCCCTTCTGTCTCCATTTCTTCAATTCCCATTTACTCTATAACCTCCTCCAGTCAGATTTCCCTTCTCACTATTATGCTAAAATCATTTCTAAAGGTCATCTATATACCCAAATCCAAATGGACAATAAACAGTTTCAGTCCATAAGGCCTTAATCAGTTGTTATCAACTGTTGACTGCTAGGAATCACTTTTGGGGAGTTTGTGTTTTCTTTAAATAGTGATGCTCTAGAGATTCTGATTTAATTTGTTTCAGGTAAGGTTCAAGTATTTTTTTAAAAATCCTGAGGTAATTCTGTGCACACAATTTTGAGAACCACAGCTCTAGGTGGACTCATTTAATCCCATGGTTTTACATATCAACTCTACACTGATGACTCCCACATTTCTCTTCCTTCCTAGCTGTCTCCTCTACCCATATCTTGAATCTCCAACTGCCTAACAATTCTACTTGAATGCCTAATAGGTATCCCAAATTTAACTTACCCAAAATAAAATGTTTGATTTCCTACCCTTTCCAAAACGTACACCTCTGTGTCTCAGAAAATGACACCATCTACTCATTTGTTCAAAGGCCTAGGATTCAATCTGAGTTGTTCTCTTTTCCCCACATTTCATATCCAAACCATCAGTAAATCCTATTGGCCTTAGCTACAAAATATATCCCAATTCTAATCACTTCTCAACTCTTCCATAACTATCACCCTTGTCCAAGTCAAGTCCATCTCTTGCCCAGCTCGCCACAATGGTCCCCGCCTGGCCTTTTAACAAGTCAAAATCCTCCAATTGATCCCTGTCAATTAGGAAAAGGATCCAAACTCTTTACCAAGACTACAAGACCCCCCATTATCTGGCCCAACATACACCTGTCCAACCTCATCTATCACTCTTTCCCTTGTTCACACTGCCTTTTTTGCTGCACCTGTACCAGAGCCTTTGTACATGTACTATCCACCAGATCTTCAATGTAGATTATTCCTTCACTTCATTCAGGTCTTGGCTTAAATGTCACCTCTTCAGGAAGACTTCCCTAATTATACTTATAGCCACCAAAACTGCTAAGTCTCTGGTTAACCCCTTGACCTGTTTAATTTTTTTTTCACAGCACTTTTAATTTTTTTTCACAGTATTTTAAAATAGTATTTTAAAATACTATTTTTGATTGTTTGTTCATGTTTACTTGTGTGGCAGATATCACTTATCTGTAGCTCTTTCTATCATCCATTATCCCCTTATTAGTTACAGAAAACATTTTAGCTCTTTGCTGCCCCATTAAAAGACAGGCCTCTCTTTCCTGTAAGCTATGTGACTATGCTCTGCCAATAAAATATAAGAAGTGTTGTTGGAAATTTTAAAATTAGTTTTATGTCTACCAATTGTGTTAGAAATATTTTTTCCAGTATGTTGTTGTTTAACTACCTTTGGGGAGAAAAGGTATTTATTTATTTCATATATTCAAATTTATCCATCAATTACATTATAGCTTGTGGATTTTATGTACCAATTAGAAGCCCTTCTCTACTCCAATATTAGAAATATATTTACCTATATTTACTTCTAAAATTTTATGTTTTCATTTTTTAATGCTCTAATGTTTTATCTATTCTGTGTTGTTTTTCTTTAAAGACTTCTGACAGCCTGAATACTAGAGAGTACTATAACAATCCTTATAAATCATGCATTATTTTATCCATTTAAAAGTAAGAATTCAACATTTGGGCTAAAGACAAGAAATGTCAATACAGGGTATGCAAAAGTAGGTTTGCAGTTTTAAGTATGCAAAAATAGTTTATTCTTGTATTATTTATTAACTAGAGGCCCAATGCACGAAATTCGTGAAAGGGGCTTGGCCCATCGCAGCCCTGGCTGCCTTGTGGCCCACCCACTGGTCCTTCCTGAAGGTTATTCTGCCATGAGGTCTAATTAGCATATTAGCTCTTTATTATATAGGATTATTGTATTATTTGCCATACGAACTGTAAGCCTACTTTTGCCCACTCCATATATAAACATGTCATAACCTACTCAAAAAGCAATGAAGATATGGAAAAAGTAAGCTAATACAACATTATGTGCTTTAATATCCCTATTTTTAAAAGGTAGGTTGATGACATTACAAAATCTCTTGAAACCAATGTTAGCTATAAATATATCTTCTAGCTTGCTTCCAAACAAATTAGCAAAGATTGACATGTATTTTAATCTCAACTAAAGTACTAAGCAAGAAATAAAAATAAAAATGTAAAAAAAAAGTTTTCTACATTTATAAAATAACTGGGTTACTTCAGCTTAAAAAAGTATGACTTACTAATAAAGGACTTCGCTCTAGCAGTGAAAGTGACATAAGGAATCTATAAATATCTGTTGAGAAAATGTTTACACTTTAATTTATACTTTTTTCTTTTTGTTGTTGTTATGGTTAGTGGTTATTTTACATCTCTCCTTCAATCCCCAACAAAGAGAAAATAACAATAATTCTCCTTAAGCTGTTTATATCATAGAGTCCAGAGAAAAAAGCCTCTTTCTGAGGAAAAGAATCCTATAAAAACACTCTATTGTTTACAGTTTATACCCAGAAATCATTTTGGGAAGTACTTGCTAATTTCCAAATTTCTTTATTTTAAAATTTCATTATTAATTTCTTTCTTTTATTTATGGTCAGTAACAGTATGCAGATTTTCTTTTTTACCTAAAAATACTCAAATGCATAAGTGATACCTAGTTTGAAAGAAAAAGTTCTTTTATGAGCAATAAAATGCTATGAATGGATGTGGGACTAGTCTATGTATTAGTTTTTATGAGTGCCTCAGTTATTTAAATAGTATATCATCTTCAATGTGGATTATACTTCTAGTTGCTAAAAAGACTTCCTTTCATATACGAAAAGAAATAAAGGCTCCAGAAAACACAAAACTAGTTTTCAAACTGTTCCAGACATTATTAAAACAAGAAAACTAACCACTGCCAATAACACTGTCTTTATGTTTTCCTATATTTCACTTCTTTAGAACACTTAAATATTTTCTTTAAAAAAAAAACACAAACCTTTAAAAATTACTCATAAAATTATTATTACTTACAGAACTTCTACACAGAATCAAATAACTAAATTTTAAAATCCTTCTCACAGTTTATTAAACTCAGCCAATGAATGAGTTGACCAAATGCTAGGAGACTTGAGCCTAAATTATCTTAGCAGTGGATTAGCTTTGACTTTCACTTATCTGCTAGCATGGAAATATATATCCACTTTACAGATACAGACACCCAAAATTGTCTTTTTCACTGGGTTCCTAATCTACCAGCCCCCAGTTCAGTGTCTAACAACATAATAGGCCACCAATTGACCTTTACTGGAGGAACAAATTCAATAAACATATGAAATATATTTCCCATACTTAAACAAAAAATGGAAGTTTAATTACATAGTACAAAGTAGCCACTCAATAAATTATGAAAATTAACTGCATGAAAATATTCACCTCCCAGAATAAAGATACTATCAATGATAAGGATTCTAATTATTTAATACAGTATGTTCTCAGTTTTTTTTTCTTTTTGAGTGGCTGGACAGCACAGCTAAATGTATAACAAAAAAATAATAACTGGCTGAGTTCTCTGGTCATATACTCTTAATTCCAATATTCGATGCTTCTTGAAAGTTAGTTTCATCATTAAAGTTGAAATAGTGAATATATATTTCATTTAAACACCCTAATTAATTTTCACCTGAAATTGGTTTACAGCTTTTTGACTGCTACTCAAAAAGGAACTAAGCTTTGATATATACATACACATACACATACACATACACATACACATACACATACATACATATGTTACACATACTTTTTCTCATCTGATATTACAAAAGAAGTAATAAATGTCTACATACAGGTACCCAGATCATCCTTTGTCACAAATAGCACATATTCTTGAATAATCAAAATATGGTGAAGTTGGGTTCTAAACAATGGACAAAGCAGCAATATCATGGACTTAAAATTAGCCTTTGGAGCATCATTGAACATTCCTTTGGAAAAAGCTACATTTGGAAGCTCATGTCCTATCCTTAATAAACCCAAGACAGACAGCTTTTTTCCCATCTTGTAATTAACCATGTTTTCTTAAACTAAGCATTATGTGTATGTTGCTTGCTAATCTGAGACCATATGAAAAAAGTTTAAATATACAATCACATAGAGTAGGGTAAGATGTTCATATTCAAAGAAACACTTGGAACTAAGATTGTTTTCTATTACATGCTTATTCGAGGTCATTCCCATAGAGAGGAGATATGGAATCACTCAAACTTCTTATTTCTCCAAGTACATATAATTAAATTCCTGTAAGTTAAATGGGGGGGGGGAGGGGGGAGACAACTAACCTAAAAGAAGCTAGTACTTATGACCAGAGACTAATTATCAGATTTCTTTTTCCCAACCTGTACATTTGACCCATTACTAGGTTGTGAAATGAATTTAAATCTGAGATCTGCATTTTCTTAAATAACAGAATTTAAAAGAAAATATCAGTTAATAACATAGTAAATATTCTTTCTGAAATTATGTGTGTATGTATGATGTGTATACGTACTAGGTTGAGATGTAAAATGAATTTCCTATTTTGGAAATTGCAATTTTTTAAAGACTTGAAAAAATATAGGGTTAATACTATATATCCTTGGGTCGTGTGATTTCTAGCTGAATAAGTGGAAGAACAAGCAAAAAAATATGTAAAAGTGAATGTTTAATTCCTTAAATACTTGTTTACAAAACAAGTGGGAGTTCGACTTCCCCTGTTTCCCCAAGAGCAGGAGTATGGTTTGACTGAAGTTTTATGATATTCGGGAAACTAGCAATCTTGTCTCACATTACTGGAATGCCTATGATCATCTAAGTGTCAATATTACAAAAATCTCAGGTACCACTGATCTAAGCTAATTATGACCATCTCTATTCTTACATCTGCCTAGAATACTTCATTCATCTTCCTAGTAGCCCCTTATATGTCCAAGATCACAAAGGCCAACACCCTGTTTGAAGCCAATTTTTTAAAGACTGTAACAGTGGATGTATTTAGGGCAGTGGTTCTCAACCTTGGCTGCACATTAGAATCACCTGGGAATCTTTTTAAAATCCTGATTTCCGGAATGAGGCCCAGAAATCAGGATTTTAAAAAGATTGCCAGGTGATTCTAATGTGCAGCCAAGGTTGAGAACCACTGATTTAGGGGAAGAGGTCAGTCACAGGGCTGTTTCCAACAGATTTTCTAAATCAAATCAATCATAAAAAGTAACTATCTTAGCTCCTTAGCCACTAGCGGTGGTTCTCAACCTTCTGGCCCTTTAAATACAGTTCCTCATGTTGTGGTGACCCCCAACCATAAAATTATTTTCGTTGCTACTTCATAACTGTAATGTTGCTACTGTTATGAATCGTAATGTAAATATCTGATATGCAGGATGGTCTTAGGCGACCCCTGTGAAAGTTCGACCCCCAAAGGGGTCGTGACCCACAGGTTGAGAACCGCTGCAAGGGCATAACTCTGGGAAAT